CTGAGTCTAAATCCTTCTCAAAATTCTTAAAGAGATTGTCAGCAAATATTTTACGATATACATCAAGACTTTTTGTGTTCATATAATTTCACTAAAACCAAAAATAAAAAAATTAAATGTATACCAAAACAATAAATTGATAATGTATATACTTATACAAGTACATGAACGATGATATACTACAATACTATATACGGCCATGAACAAACGTCTTACATAAATGTATAATTATTCTTATTTCCCATTGTTTGTAGAGTTACTACAATCAACACACAGTAGTATATGTATTTATAAAATATCGCAAAGATAAGAAAGATTAATGCCGTGTGACTGACTTCTGTGGTGATTTAACTAGATTATTAATTGTATAATTAGTTTTGAACTGGACCAAGCATGACGGCATGATACGAAATTAAATTAAAAACATAACATTCTTGCACTTAGCCGTGTACAACAGTTATTACTCCTGGTGAAATAAAATTTTAAATGATATGCAAAAACTATCTATTAATCTTATGTATTTAATACATTTTAAGTTTTTTTTTTTTTTTGAATAATAGCTATTAATTAAATTTAGTTGCTACGCGATTCTCTCAATTTAATTGAAAAAAAACCGCACAAAATGTGTTGTAAGAAGAACAAATAACGAGAAAAAACAAAATATCGACGTACTTCATTCAACAGGTTCATTTGACAAAAATGAAATTATAGTATTTTTTTTAGATATTATAATAACGATGGATGTAACCAGAGTTTAAAATGGAAAAAAAAAGGCAGGAGGGACTCCAATCCATATATCATTCTCAGCGTTCCATATAGTCCTATACAATTATTGGATAAATTAATTAAATAGGTATAGGAGTATATGTTATGAGGTGTTATTGGTGAACAATTTCCTCTATAAAATAAAAATAATATTCATAGAACTAATTATGTTACGCATCCCCTCTATATCGTACTTTTTGCATTATAAATAATATGAATAAGGCTGATTTATTTTTTGATTCATTGTCTTATTTTAAGAATATTAAAATTCTACATTTTTTCTATCTTATTATTTAGTTTTGTTTTCTATGTTATAAATGTTTAATAAGTCTTAAGTTTATATGTTCATCATATTCACTACGTATTCAATTAATATCTATCTATGTAACTTACTCTTAAGTATTTAAGTTCCACTGTACTATTTATCTTAGTTAAATTATCTCACATTTTCTGTAATTACGCCCTTGCGGCGTTGAAATAAATAAATAAATAAACTATTCATGTGCTGTAAAAATGAACGAATTTGTAAACTAATTATTATTTGAAATAATTGATTGTAAATATCTTTTGATAAAATAAAATAAATTGAAAAATCGTATATATAGTTATATATATAATTTATATTTAATATTAGTTAATTTTGTTTGTAGAATACTATTTAACACCTAGCGAGATTAAATTAATTTAAATTAAATTACAAAGTCAATCATGAAATTAAATCATAATAAACATAAATGTTATTAAATTTATTGTTTCATATTTGTACTTATTAATCATAATTTAGGTGGGTGGTTGAACAGATGTGGTACCTGGGGAGATCCAGGTAGGTTCAGACTCCTAACTTAAAATATCTGGCCCTAACACTAGACATTGGTTCAACCTTAAGTATAATAATATAATAATTTTAAATAAGCAAAAAAATATTGTAATAGTTCACCATAGAAACACGTAAATAAGTATTCGATAATAATAGAAATACTAATTAACTCTAATATTATAATATTATTTGATAAAATTACCCACAGCCTAAATTCGTGCTAATTATTATATTATTTGTATCTATAGCTAATAAATGTAATTTCATTTTTATTAAGCCCGGCCTTATAATTTGTGGGCCCCCTATTAGCCCTTCCCAGTAAAATATTCTCGCACAGTCAATACTTGAGTAATTAAACATACATTTTGATAATAATGAATTAAAATAATTAGTAAAAAGAAATTATTTTATAAAATATGTATCACATTTCCGTATAATCAATCGTACCGGGGTAAATATATATGTCATAACCAGGGTTCGTAAGTTCATGCCCTAAAAAATGCCTAAATAAGCATGCATTTATGTACTTAAAATTGACAAAATATGCTTTGAAATATACCTTAAAAGTTAAAAAATATGCATTTATATGCACTAAATATCTAAAATTATGCACTTAAAACATGCTTACTTAAAAAAATCATAAATAATTTTTGAAATAACATGAATTATCCATTAATTTTTTTATAGCTATATTTCATTTTTTTATGTCATAATTAAAAAAAAAATTAGATTTTAAATACTATTTAATACTATTCTTGAGTCTTCATGAACTGCGTATGATGTAAGTCTTTGTCAGTAATTCATTTTAAACCTGAAACTTTTAAAAACAAATTTATTCATTAAATGTACAAGTATCAAGAAGATAAGAAAAGAAAAAAAAAATTTATTTTTAATTTTATATATATTTTCCATTTAGAGTTTTGATAGATTCTAATAGAATGTTGTATAATATGCCCGATAAAATAGAAATAAGCATAAATATGCCAAATATACAAAAACATGCAAAATTAGATTTCACATATCTAACTGTAGTATCTTGAAATGGATTTATATATCATATAGCAATAAATACAACTTTGCATGATTGATATGCAAATGCATGAACTTACGAGCCCTGGTCATACCTATATCGTATTATAACAAGTTGTATTTTTAGAGTACTTATTTATTGTATAATTTTTTATACTTATATTTTAGAGTATATTTAGATGTTTTTTATATAGTTTATTTTTATAATAAATAATAAATAATTTTATAATTTTATTTGAATAAAATAAATTTTTTTATTCAAATGACATATTGTATTTTTTTTATTACATGATTTTAATTATTAAATTATAAAAGCTTAACTCTTATTTTAAAAAAAACATAAAAAGCATGCAGAAAATAAGAAATATAAAGAAAACAGAAAAATAACAAACAGAAAAAATTAAAGAAAAAGAACAAAAAAAAAAAAAATTAGAATAAATAAAGAAATAAATATTAAACTAAATTAGAAACCCAGCGGATCTTATAATATTAAAATAATTAAAACAACTGGAATAGAATTAGAATTCAGAACTAGAAGATCTAACGGATAAATATTATGTTGGCGAAGAAATTTAAATAGACTGAGACGAGATTTTAAAAGCGAAGGACATGTCATTAGAATATGCGAAAAATAGCCCTTAACATCACCATTATGCCGAGTACAGAAAAGAGAGTGGTTTAATGATAGGTGGAATGCATGAGCCAGGAGAAGATTATAACCGAACCTAAGACGCGAGGATTGAGCTATATGCTGCCTAGATAATGGTAGATTATGAAACTAGGAATGAGAAGGGATTGAGGGTTGAGTTAATATGTTAATATTATGTTAATAATTTGAGTTAATATGTCTGTACCAAGAAGCGAAGTTAATTGAGAGAGAGGACCATTTGCCAAGCTTGTTTATAACACTTAAATAGGAAGGGAAGTAGATCAGAAGGTGGAATACTGAAGGTTGGTGGTCTGGTGATGGATTTGGAGAAGACTATAAGCTTATCCGCTATCTCATTAATATATGTACCGGAATGATTTGGAACCCATAACAATTTAATGCATTGATTAAAATACTTTAAAAAGAAAATGATTGATTTTAATAGAATGTCAAAAGGAGAAATATTAGACTAGACTTGAAGGGATTGGAATTAGCTGAGAAAATAGCTGATTGTGAATCTGAGATGATAAGAAAGACATATTTTAGACATATATTTAGATAAACAATTCCAAATAAAACGGACCAGACTTTTATATTTTGTTATATAAAACTAAATGCAAGATAATAATACAATAATTATGAATCAAATTAAATCCATTAAAAAAAAAAAAAAAAATGACGGCTATCCGCTATGGGCCCTTTGACTCTGTGAGCCCCAATGTTGTGCACCGTCTGCACCTACGGTTTTTACGGCACTGGATCGGATGCTGTCGAATCGCTAACAAACCCCCAGTTCACATTATAATTGATTCGTATATTATATCGAAGTTTCTAGTGATCATACTTTTGATTCATTAAATCTGAATCGTTTACTTAGTAATCCATAGAATATCCAACTCATAATAACACGTGACATGTTGACACATTTTAATCATGAATAAATATAAAAAAAAAAAATTGAAAAACACCTAATACTCGAATGCCAAAATGCCCACGATCAGCGAGTATAAAAAAATTTCTCGATTCAAGAGGATTTCCAAAAAAAACACCAAAATCGACACTCTTCAAACGACGACGGTCCCAGGTACGCGAACCGGGCGTACGTGCGAACGGGTTTTCGACAAATAGCCCCATGGTATTTTCATATTTTATATTGTCACACGCGCACGCACGTCGGATCCGAAACCTAATGCACTCGTGTACCTGTGTAACATAAGTGTATATGGTACACGCGCGCATTATACAATCATAATAACACTGCACTGTACGTACTACTACATTATGTGTACACATGCCCGCGGGGTCGACGTTGTAACCACCGCCGCGTTCTCTAACTCCTACCATTCGAGATTTGTATTTCGCTTTTTCTCTTCGTCCTCATCGTCGTCGTTGTCTTCTTCTTCTTCTTCTTCTACCACTTCTCGTATTCGTTCACGTAACGTTGCCGCGGTCGCTGATGCTGCCGCCGCCTTCGTCGTGTACGATCGTCCGTGTGGGCAGGCACAGGTGGCGCGGCGGTGGTGCACAGGTAGCCCGGGTCTCCGGGTACGGTAGTTTTAATATTATTATTATTATTATTATTATTATTACTAGGTACGCGTATAGGCTCGCGCGCGCGCACAGCACCCAGAGTAGTGTTCGGAACGGGCGGCAGACAGCGCTACCATCGTGTCGTTGAAGGGCACCGACACCGTCGCCGACGACTCCCACTCGACCTGATCGCCACCGGTTCCCCCTCTCCGGCCGCACACGTCGCCCGCACACCGTTCCGTCGCGGTAACCGACCGCGCGACGCAACCAGTACCGACAGACGCTGATCAGCGTATCTGTTCACGGATGTTTTTTTTCCTCCGCCCGTTACCCGAGTCCGTCTCGCAGTGTAGTACGCGCCCCGCGCAAGTGCGTCGTCCCAGTGCGTCTACCGTTCGTTTACCGCCACCGCATTCTTTCGGCGGTTTTTTTTTTCCAACTCTCCGCCGAATATGCATTTCAATAAGTTCTATCGGTATTCCATCGTCGTTCGGCCCGGACGGTAATTATTATGACTTGACGAAGTGTGCGCGAGTGCCTTTTTTTTTTTTCTTCCGCCCGTCACCTCTACCCGGTAGCTTTGCTCCGTCGCTGTGGCGTGCGCACATCTATCATCGGTTTTCCCGACGTCCGACGTCGTAGCACGTAAGTGTAAACCATGCCATGGTAAAATATTACTGCTGTTATTATTATTATTATTGGTATTATTTTCGTTACGATTAAGTTCGGCGACGATAGACATGATGGTGTACACCCCATGTAATAAAAACGGTTATCGTTAAAACGCTTGTCGCGCCGTCTCATTATGAGTTGGATACGGTTTTGCCCGGGTGCAATCGTGCGACAGTGGCCAACACTAATAATAGTTTTCGTTGTTATCGACGGTGCTACTCGGCCAATATGTACGAACGATTGTCGTCTTATCGGTCTTATCGTAGTTCTGTAGATCGATACGCGCCACTCTCCGTCACTTCACCGCACATACTAAATGGGCTAAATGGGTGAACCGCTACCGATTGTCACCGTCTCCGAGCGCTTTGTCTCGGCGTATTAACATCATTCGAACGTCACCATCGTACATCGACTTCTTTGAACCGTGCACGTTCCGCTGGAGAAGTGGGGTGGGGGGGAGGAAGTCGTCCTTGATTAAGTCGCGCGTGCAGTGGCAACGGACGTCGATCTTTCAGGCGGGGGTTTTCCCGTAACAGTACGAATGTGCCAATTCGATATTCGAAATATGTCGAAACTAAAATTAAACCATGATTTTCACTAATATTATCCGCACTGTGCACGTGTGCCGGGAACCCGCAGGTAGGTGAGACATTATTCCCAGAGAACACGATTGAACAAATTATTGCCATTCAAATCTATAGATAGGTGATTATTTCCAATAATTTCCAATTAAATCAATCTTGAATTTCCTCCGGATGTTTTGGAGGCAACTCAAGTCGGTCCCTATGTACCCATGTGTCAGAATGCCTCCCATAATATGCCCATTGCCCATCATCTGTTCTACGCTACTGTCTACAGATTCGATCTAATCAAATATTGATGTTGATATAAAAAATTGAGCCCAATTTTTTTTTCTAGTCGCTTATACGCAAGGCGAACTTGTTTGCGATTTGAAATTTTATCAAAAAGCGATTGGTTAATTTGAAGCGATAATTCGTGGTAGTTGAAAATCGAGTTCATGTCCCAACAAATCGCTTTTAATATAAGTTGAAAGTTCTGTTAGAGTAGGTTCATTAACACAGTCTTACATTATCAGTAAATTATACCACTTTTTTTAAATACGAAATCTTTAATATTTATTACTTGGAAAAATATTTGTCTCTTATTTCTAACTGTTGGAACCATAGGAGTTACTACTCAAAATAATAATATTAAATAGGCGATTTGACATACTGAACACAATTTATGTCAATTAATCCTACCTAATTCTAGTAAACTTGAAAGTCAGTTCTAGTTAAATTTAAAAAAAAAAATTTGTTCAGGAAGAGATTCAACAAATTATTGGGAGGCAATCCTAGGCAATTCGAGTGTAAAATAGTATCCAAGGCATAGTTTATCCTAATATCATATAAACATTTTTATAAACATGTCACATATTGTGTACACATCAATATAGGTATGTAACTTGATTAAGGATTATATCGTATGCTATATATATTTATGCTATTGTTGACGTGGGCAGGGCTACCGTTACTCACGGAACATCCCTCATGTACAATAACTTATGGGAGGTGGGGCTAACTCAATAAAATATTTCCCTTTAATAATTTAATGGATGTACATTAACATAAACAATGTACCATAACTTTTACTTATAATGTTTTATAGCTGAAATTTTCGTAATAAATTGTAAATGTAATAATTTAAATAATATTCATAACTTATTTTATCTAAAAATATATGTGTAGAAAGTATCTTTTAACTTAAGAAAAATCATCCTTAATATTCATGAAATTAACCATGAATGCAGGATTTTTAATATTTTAAAGGAAATTTAATATAAAAAAATTAGCATAGTAAATCAGCCCTATTTTAACTCTGAATTAAAATTGATTGAATTTGGTCTTCATGGTGTAAAACATAAAATAAATAGTACCATTATTTCCAAGTTTTTTTTTCAAACGGCCAAAATTATTTAAAAAATCGAAATAGGTACCATTTTTATCAAATGTCCGGTATTTAAAGTGTTGCATGAAACTTTGAGTATATGCCATTGTTAATTGTAAAAATATTTATAGAAAAAACTTAATGTAAAAAGTTACCGGATACCCAACGATGACAACAGCCCTCCTCTAAGCCATCGATGGAAAACATTCGTGCAGAAACAAAACCGCTTCGTGTTATTGTACTATTATATTATTCTATCGAATACCATTTCATCTTGTATACGATTTTTAAGATTTTAGCTCATGTTTGCTCCTCGTTCCCGGCAATGTTCATATGTCCGGTGTGTGCAGTGTTTGTGTACAAACAACGATGATATTTTTCCTCTTTTCGACCTATTCATCTCATGATGGGCAGTCCCTCCGGACACTGCACAATTTAATATCAACAATAAAATGTCAGCAGTGTACGTTGTTGCGCGCACGTCCGATTCGCCAATCTTCTCTCTTTCTCTATCCCACACACGCATACACACACACATACACATTGAATGCGTTTGTTATTTATTGCATTGTGTGTCAATCGTCAATGAAAAAACACTTCTAAATCGATTATTTGCAATATGTATAATACGTGCATATACATATTTATATATTATATATTATGATTTCGATGACAATAAAAATAAACTATCATCGTCGTCCGTCGTTTATTCGTCGTGGTCACGGAGCCACCGAAAAAGGTTTAAGTACAACACAATTCTAAACATTTTCGCAATCGCGGTTAGGAACGAGTCTTCATACGTATTATGTTTAATATGCGATATAGATGTAATTTTATTTTAATTGAGTATAAAAAGTGTACAGGTATATATGATGACTACTGTGTGTGTTGAGTGTGCGGTGAATCATTACAAATATAATATTCTATGCATGCTTTCTTTTCTGTTGCATTACGATGTATAATTTCAGCAACTTGAGATTATGCGTTTTGACTGACGTGGTCAATCTAACATTTTGTCTATCCAAATGAAATTTGATCGTCGAATATGTATTTAAAATTTAGTGGACGATTGAGAAAAGAAAAAATTTGCATTAGTTTTTTTGTTTCCGTTGGCATTTCATCCCGCGTGATTTACATACCTATTGTATTTAAATGCTGTTCATCGTATCGGGACTCACATTTTGATATTTGTAATTTTAGATAAAACATTCACCTTCGGTATATGTTTCTTATTTTATAACAACATATGATAACTAACTATGGTTTATAATTTGTATTTATTCAGGGGCGTAATTAGGGAGGGATTAGGGGGGTGGATCCCCTCCCAAAACTTTTTTTTTGTAATTTTATTTTATTTATTATATTGTGATAATATGATTATTATCATTATTTTTATTATTACGATTACTATTATTATTATTATTATTAAAATTTAAATCATTAAAAACTTTGTTCTGGTGGGGGGTGGTTACTGTATAAGGTGTACAGATTTTGCTAAAACCTATAATCCCCCCCCCCCAAAAAAAAACAAATTCCTAATTATGCCACTGTATTTATTACCTATATTATACTCGTTTGCATATTCGTATCATGTCGTTTAATAACAAGTTATAATTTTATATTCTAAAATGTGAACTTCTGTTCAATAACAGAATCTAATCGATAACATTTGGCATTGTATCTCCTACATGTGTGAAACACAAAATAAAAATCTCGATTAAAACTATTATTTTTATCAAACATATTATACGGAATACTCTATGATATACAAATAAAAATAATAAATTATCCAAAAAGCATGAACATGAAAGTACAAAACTAGATATAAGAATACTGTGATTTAAATTTAATTTTTATGTTTTAGAGGCTAGCTAGGTATTACAGTATTAATTATTACTTATAATTGGTAGAAAATTTATAATTAACTACCTATCAAATATTTTTTAAGTAATTTGAAACTGATATAACGAAAATAACTTAGCAGATTATTATGAATATGTAGCTCCATATTTTGTTGATGGTCTCTCGGGTTAATCGGATGAAACTATAAAATGTATGAAATAGACTATGAAACCAACAGTATTCTATTGAAAATGAATTGTAGGTGTATTATAATAGTTGAGTTATTCTAATTACTTAAGAAATAATTAATACTGTAATACCTATCCAGGCGCTAAATAAAAAATAAAATATTTTTATAATAAGATATTTTTGTATATCAAATGAGGTGATAACGGTTTTTAAACAGACTTGAATCAGTTAAGACGATATATAATACTCGATTTTTATAAAATTTAAGAAAAAAGTAAAAATATAATTAATAGTGAATTTTAAGCCACCTTTTTTGTTTCAAACTTATTAATGAATTCGTATTGCATTATTAAATCGGTCGAATACTAAATAAGAACGTATAAATTACTATGTAACCAGAATGATGTAGACAGAAATTATAATTCAAAATATGATAAAAATTGTTGAAGTATAATAGTATCGATTTATTGACGTTCAATGTTAAAAAAAAAACAACAAACACATGAGTATCCCTATCTATTTTATTAATATGTATTTTTATGCTTAAATAAAATAAAAATAAAATACTCTATTTGAAAACGGTGGTAGGTAAGTATAAATGTGGCGTTTTTTAAAACTGTTTTTATTAACGTTAATATTATCACGTAAAATACAACTTGGTACACGAATATTGCTACGTGTACACACGGACGGTTAAGAATACAAAAACCGGTTGTCGTCGTCGTCGTCTGTACAACGAAACATCGACGGCGAACTGACGCATTGCGCATACAAGCACAAAGAATAATAATAATAATAATAGAAGCGTTTGTTGCGCGTGTCCAGTCGACACAACGAGCACAATAAAATGTTTTATTATTTTAATTTTAACGCAGCACAACTCCGGCAACGAATAACCTATGGTGTGTGTTTTCAGGCGATTAGCATAATGTCGAGCGGAAGCAGCGGCGCGAAATCGGCTTCCGTCGGCGGCGAGGGTGTGAAGCCCGGCGTGGGCTCGGCGTTCGTACCGGTCATGCCGTCCAGCGGATCGTTTTACGGGCATCCGTCGATCGCGTCAATCCCGACCCCGTCGTCGGCCGACTTCTTCGCCGCTTCCATGATGGCCGACAAACACAAGGCACTCCAACACCACCATCTGTCGCTCCAGCAACAGCAGCGACAGCAACAGCGGTCGCCAGGCATGTACGTGCCCAAACACAAAACGCAGCAACAGCAGCAGCAGCAACAACAACAGCAACAGTCTTCGTCGTCGACGAACGCTGCCGCTGCTGCCGCGGCCGCTGCCGTGTCGCTGCTCCACCAGCAACAGCAGAACGAGCTGATGGCCATGGCACTGGACAAGAACAAGGTGTTACAAGCAGTCATGCATCAGCGTGGCTACCCGCATCCGTTCTTGTTGAACCCTGGCGGTCAGTACGGAGGCCAACCGCCACCCTCATTATTCGGCGGACCGACTTCGGGCGCCGGTCCAGCCGCGTACGGCTCAACGGCTGCCCGGCCACGAGTCTCTGCTGTTGGCGCTGGTGCTGGCATCGGCCGTGCTTCCCGTCCTAAAAAGCAATTTATTTGCCGGTTTTGCAACCGACAGTTTACCAAAAGCTACAACCTGTTGATACACGAGCGGACGCATACGGACGAGAGACCGTACTCCTGTGACATTTGTAAAAAAGCGTTCCGGAGACAAGACCACCTGCGCGATCACAAGTAAATATTTATTATTATTTTAAATCTTGATTATTATCACAGTGATGCAGGTCAAAATAAGTGACCGTTTTGAAGGGATAGGGGTTGGGTATGGAGATTATTAAATTTTTCCAATAATACTGAAATCGGTTGAATATAAATTGCTACTTATCACATGATCACATGTTAACTAAAGTTGTTACTAAAATTCGGAACCTTCGATTTCTTACCGCAACGTATGAGCTTCATATTTATATAATTCAATGCGTCACCTATTTTGTGCTATGCGTGTTTGTGATTTTAACGCTTTTTTTTAAATTGTTCGTACTCACACATTTCAATGAAACATTTCTATTTCGAGCTGTATCTAAGACAGATAATGAATTTGTAATATTTTTTACGAATCTCGATCAGATTACGAAGTATGGTTAGCGGTCCTCTTTTCGGTTGAAATGTTACTTTCCGTTTTCGACCAAAACTGACCGTTCCCTTTTCAGTCATTAATGTTTTATTTAAAATTTATAATTTTAACAATTGAACTTGTACAATTTTTATATTTAATAAAATTTGATTTTTTTTTTTAAACTATTACTGTGTGAAAAAATAATAAAATAAAATAGTAAGCAATAAAATATTATATTACACTAGTGAATAAAAATGAATATAATACCTATATAATAATTATTATGGTAATAAAATATGCCTTCAATATAATACTGTATATATACTCTATAATATCATTCTTATTAAGTATTTGAATAAAAATATTCACATACTTTTCATGTTCTCAAATACGTATTTTAAATTGTTATGAAAAAAATACTTGGACATTTTAAATACCCAGAGTATCTGTATTTAAAATCAAATACTAAATTTTATTTCAATTTGATCACATTAAAATAATAAATTAATTTACCAATTATTTATATTGTATTAATTAAGATTTATCAACCATTTATCCTTGTTGTTTAAATTTAATCGATATTTATATGTGGCATATTATAAAAATTTGTCATACAAACCTCTTCCAGCCAATTTCATTTTAAATACCAAAACCTAAGAACCCTATTTATAGTTTACAACATTATACACTACTATCACTAAAAAAAATATAACATACTACATTACTAATCATAACAATTAACAATTTCATAATAAAATTGGAAATTCGTTTTATTTTTATTTTCCAATTACATTTTAATTCTAATCATTAATAAATAATAATTAAATAAATCCTATAGCAGGAGTGGGCAACTGACGGCCCGCAAGCCTTTTTTATCTGGCCTATGGTATATTTTAAAATTACATCATACAATTTTAAAGTTTATCGTCGTCTATACTCTAAATTATCGATATAATAATTGTTATATAGTATTAAACATCATTAAATGTCTAAATGTTATTGTATGTATATGTATAGCTTTCAATCATAGCTACATATGTATAATTGCTAATTTAAATTCATATTTTGAATGGCCTTTTTTTCTATGCTCTGGCCCGCTATATTTTAATCTTCTAAAAATTGGCCCTTTAGTAACTCTAAGTTGCCCATCTCTGGCCTATAGGAATCCTGAACTATTTTATTCATTGCAGCCGTGAATATGTTTTTAAAATTCTTTTATATTTGTTTTATGTTTATAAGGTAAAAAAAAAATAACGTTATGAAATTTTTTGAGTATTTGAAAGTATCTACGAATACTTTTTTTTTAGTATTTTTATTTGTATTTGAATAATTTTAAAAATATCTTTGACAAGACTATATAATATAGCCTTTGGAGGTATACTTTGAACTCGTTTAAATCATATTATATCAAACAAATAAGAATTCTGGTTTATTTTTATTTCCAAAAAGCCAATTATATACGAAATTAGACATATTTGAAGACCATAAAAATAATTAAATTTGTTGAACAAAATTATTTATTAATTTAACCAAGGTAATAATATATTTTATTTTATTTTATTAATTTTTCACACAGTTGTATGTAATCATTTTTATCAAAAAATCAAATTTTTGAACATAATCATATTTAATTAAATATACAAATTGTAAATTTCAAAGAATACTGTATGGCTAAACATGGAACTGTAAGTGTTAACTGGAAAATGCAATGCCCATTGGATCGCCGTAATTTCTTGTATAAACGATAAAAAAAATACACACATATAAAAATTATAATAAAGTCTTCTGATACAAAATAAAAAAAATCAACCAGCATATAAGATATTCGATCGGTACTTTTTTATTTTACGTAAATTCTCGTAGTATATTAGGTTTCGATATGTTCTATTTTTTCTCTCTCATTTTAATAAACATAATATTATATTCGTACATGTGACTTTCCTCGAGAAGTACATCTCGGTGACCCTGGAGCATATGGTGCAGTGTTCGCGGTCACCTCCATCGCATAAAATCGGTAATAATAAAATCGACCACCGCGACGTGGTAACAAGTATCACTTGGTTTTTTGGAACATGAAAACCGGTCTATGTGTGTTAATTAAGAAGTGTAATAACGATCACGACCGACGTACTTGTTGCGCTTATGTATATGTGGCCTGTTGGCTAAAAGTGGAAGACTTTTATACATAGATAAATAATAAATGTATAAAAAAACTGAGTTAGCAATTTTTCCTCATTTAAACCGATAGCGATTCATTATAGAATTGTATTATTGATTCTACTCGTTCTGTATATAGAGTTCTTTGGCGATTTTCCTCTCTCATCGATCGATTTCGGGTACGACGATGAAATCTTCCAGCCTTCAAACTGTGTTTACAATAAACAGGTTAAAGTATTTTTAGATCTCAGCAGAGTATGCCTAAGAGTAATTTGCCGCAATGAACTCGATTGTCTACAGGTTACACCGCTCTGCTCTACGTATATAACTCAGTGTATGTAACTCAGAGATTCCATAATATATTGACTATTACCATATTATTATTGAAAACGATTTTTTCTATATTCTATCGCCGGAAGTTATTTTTACGATTTTTAATTTTTTAATTTGTTTTAGCATAATAATTACCGATAAACCTTCTTGGATTAATGTTTGTAAAAAAAAAAAAAACGAAAAAAAACTTAGCACACACTATTCCGTATGTACGCACTTGATATTGCGGGTGTATTATAGTAAATTATAAGCGCGCGCGTTCCGTCTTTTGGTGTGAGAACGGAGGATGACCTCAGACCGAATAGCCATGTACAGTGTGCGCGTGTGTTGGTGTTGGTGTACAAAAGTCGAAACGCCTCCCCCACTCCCCGACCGCGGTAGAAGTGGTCCGAGATTGTATTCCGCACGGCAGTGTCATGTTTGTGAGAATAACTTCAGCAACACCGCCGCACGACCGCAACAACAACAACGACGATGACGACGACGACGACGAAAACGACTCCGGGACGGGTTTTAATTAGAGAACCAGACGCCGCGGCGCAACGACCGTCTCGGCGGCGGTTGCGGCCGGCGTGCTGCTGCCGCTGCCGCTGCTGCTGCTGCTGCTGCTGCTGGACCCGATCTTCGGTGGCGTATTATACAACGATGTACGCGCGCGATTTCCTCTCAGGTGCGTGTTCGCCGCGGAGGCGGTGGGTGGGATTACGCGCGCACGCACCGCGCTCGGACGACGCAGGTCCGCGTTTACGGACCGTGATTTTAATACGCGGTGGGTGTATAAGTGTATATGTACACGTGCGCGCGGTGGCGGTGCGGAGAGGATGATCTGGTTTTATACGCGACGGAATGCGGTGTGCCGCGCGCGCGCGTCGTCGTACCGCAACTACGTGTGTACATCACGGGGGTACGTGTGCGCGTGCACCGCGGACGCGAATACACAATACACGATTTTAGCGGGCACGCGCGTTCACGAGCGCGTGAATCGCGCAAACAGTTCGTCGCGGTCGAAACGTAATGATTGGAACGCGTGCGCGGTGAACGTCTGGCCGAGGGGACATGAAAAAAGAAAGAAAAAAAGCAAATCTGCGCAAACCCAGTCGGATAGGGCTGTTGGATATTGTCGTCGGTGTTTGAAGGGCTCCAAACGATGTTGTATTCGCACCTATACGTAATATACATACGATATACATATATGTGTGTATATTTTTACGTACACCGCAGGCGAATTCCGAAAAATAACAGTTCGTTATTAGTACGTGTGTGGATGTGTATTCAGACTATGTATAGACCTTTTTTAAGACCGCCGTCGTCTCCCACACCCTGCGGTTTGCTCTCTTTCTCTTTCTCTCTCACTCTCACTGTCGGCCCGCGTATTATGTTTTATTTGACGTACCTAGAATTATGCGCTAGAGGTTTTTATATAATACCAATACGTTACAATAGTAATTTCGAACGTGAATAGTACTATGAACATCATAACATTTCACTTCGAATTCCGAGTATCGAGAGAAACCGGCGGATCGAAATGCGTTCTCGTTTTTTTAATTAGATAATAAATCGGCAAATCCCCTGACATTTTCAATTCCACGAACGCAACAGAAGAACGTTTGCCGTGTTACGCACGTCACTGACCTCCGCACATCAATGCAGATCCATCTTGTAAATTACCTATATACATTACAACGAAACATACGCCTCGTCCTCCGTACACGCGACGTTGTAATAATTCGTTTATGATGTATTTTATCGTCGCTTAGTGGTGCTGAGAAAAATCGAAATCCGTCGTTTTGTAATTTTTATCCGGTGTGTCGTGTGTGGAACGCACGCACCGCCGGCCTCGCGCGTATACTACGTGTACGTCACACGATAATAATAATTATGGTAATATTAATTTACGACGACAACCGCGCGACGGCGTTTGCATGTACATATATTTTAGGTTTGTACGCGGTATAACGGCTCGGCGGCAATTCGACTAGGGACCCCATGCTGACTCGACACTCCTCGAGTCCGCCGCAGGTACTCGCGCACGCACTCGCAAGTTTTTGATATTAATCATTTACTCCCTCCGTTACCGCGAATTTTCTGAGGAAAGTAAATCTTAACCGAGTACCGTTTCATTATTAAT